CCCAATCTTCAGATGCACTTTAGTTTAGCCCCTCGGATTAAAGTACTCCAAAATGTCTCCCCAAAATCTATATGGAAACGATTTAGATGGGGTTTACCTAGGGCATTAGGTAATAGTGAGCTTCTATGAACGCCCCGAATTAGCCTTTTCGTTGTTATCCCGTGCCCTTGGTTAATTGACACAGAGTCCAGAGAAGCCTTGAAAAGCCGGAACAATAAAGAAGATCAAGGAAATTACTTTCATCCTTTTTGCAAATAACCTTATAGCTGTAGGTGTGACGTTCACAGCAATGATAGGCAGCTCTGATTCTACCTCTATGGGTTGAGCTTATTCGTGTCATGCTGTGAAGGAAGTGTTTTCTGATACGTTAGATCACACCTATCACTGTAGTAATGAGAACACCTGTAGCCTTGGAAAAAACTTAGATACTGAAGTCTGCAATATTCACTATCCTTCAGACATTATCATTGGTCGTTCGGTTAATTGGATCAGTAGGGTCGCCCAGATGACTGCTTTTGATAACGACTCTTTCAAATTACAGGAAAGTAAGAGCTGGGTATTTTGCACATTTGGACTCAAATGTGCAGTTCTGAGGGTCAAATGTTTCACTGTTGTCTATAGGTTCAATCGTATGGTTGTTATACTCAGTGATTCTCAGAATCCACGAAGTTCCATAAAATGCCATCTGGCCCTCGAAGGTACAAGAACTCATTTTATGTGTTATAGCTAATTCTCACAGTATTTTTGATAATGGCTAACCTGTGGCAAAAATATTCATATTTCTTGTTTTGATCTTGAGTTGAAACAAGACCCGAATGATGACAATTAAGTATACATTAAACATGCGTAAATGTTGCGGTAGTTCAGTGGACGCTTGCTTCAAGATGTACTTAGATAAAGGATGTTTTCAGTAGGCCTCTGCACAGGTGACATGTGCTGATATGGACACCACTTACGTAACAGAACATCTTATCTGTTTAACTACTTCTCCTTGTACTTACTTTACCGCAAAAGAGTAATCTTCTTGGTAGTCCTTCATAGTCAAAGATTACTGGTAGCGTACTCGTTTACGGGATACGTGTCCTCATGGGGCTTCTGAGTCCAAACCGTAAGGCACATTTACACAGCCGTCAACACTTTAGGTATTGGTGATCCGTTGTCAGGAATGCTGGTGTTGTTGTTTTATGACAAAAGATTGGCTCTCTATTCCACAGGTCAGCGGACGGTTGACTGCTGGTGAGAACATTGCGGATAATGGTGGTCTGAAGCAGACCTTCAGGGTTAGTGTCTTTTTAGTCTTTCTTTGTAATAATCATCCCTGGCCCTATAAAATTGCTACCCTTAAAATGAATGAATAAATAATCAGCGTACGCTAGTAATAAAGGCATGACTGTTGCAATGTCTATTTCATAGCATCCTATTTCATTATAACCAGTTATGTTTTGTAAAAATATATGAACATCGTCTTCTTGTGATTATCCCGCTGAAAGATGGCAGCTTGAAATTTCGTAGCCTGACTAAGCCATACTCCTGGCGGCCGCTTACCAAGAATGTTGCCGCCCTCGGAGGTCCGAGAGCTTGTTTAAACACAGGCTAAAAATTTCGTATTTAAAGAAACTATTTAGAGTAAATTATGTTACGCAACCATTTATAGGGATACAAAAAGTGGGCAGCAGCCAACGGACCTGAACCCATGTTGCCCGGACTGTCTTTGACTCCGGAGCAGCTACTTTTTGTCAACTTTGGCCAGGTGAGAGCATAATTTAAGAACATCCTTAATGTACATATTGTCCAATGAACGCAGTGGAAATTGAAATACATTTTAATAGTGTATTCGATTATTTACTACAAGACCGACTGAAACAGATTATTTCAAACAGTTGCCCAACTCATTTACAATTGTGAAGATGAAGAGTATACATCCATGTAATGAGGTACACATGGCAATTTTTACACAAGCAAGGCTAATGAGTCACTGAAATGTAATAGATGCAACTTAAAATTTCTAGCGGTTCCAGTCGCTTGAGTAACAATTTCTCTACGATCAATGTGTGTTTTAACTTATAAGTCTCTCGGGTGCAGAATCTACCCATTGAACATAATCTAACAATGTTGTTAATCAGACATGGTGTGCGAAGGCCAATCAGCAAACCGCACAGAGGTTACTTTTCACAGACAATCACAGTCCAGGCAGGTTCCGGTAAGTGGCATATTGTATATAATAAGCTGTCTTCTTAAATGATAAATCTTATCTACAATTTGCATCTGTGTCGATAGAAGTCATTATAAAGCAGTTGAAACTGTGATTTCCAACACAAGGGATTGGACTTATCCAAAGTTTCGATTGTACAACTCCAGTCTCTGTCAAAGAATGAGCAATTCACTGTTTCGGAAGTGTCACCACCTATTTAATATGTAGAATCGCCTGGACACTCGTTTTTTTTGCACGAGGGATTAAAGAGGCCATCTACATTCGGGTATTACAACAAAGACGGAGGGGGGGGGCATACTTTCTGCAAGTTACAATCCACTACTCACGGGGCCACGTGTGTCACGTTATGCAGTGGATTGCTCATCCCTTGACAAAGACTGGAGTTGCACAGTCGAAAAATTGGTTCAATCTCTTGTGTTGGAGGGAGTTTAAACTGCCTCATCAGTTATTTTTTCTTATTATCCTAAGAAGTGATTCAAATGGATTGTCTGCGACTTCGTACTGCGAGCTTTGGTGTTTATGAAGACAAATGGCAACATTGCTGTCTAGTTTTTGATGGAGACGTGCAATTATCGAAAAATTAATGGCTTCCCCTGTAGCTGCAGCTTTAGCCATCCCTAGACTTGCAATTTGACGACCCAATGGGCTACAAATATTGCCCTGTAACTCTGGCTATTGCATAACGTTAAACAGTCATTGATTGTTTTCAGTATTGATGGTTACAAAACGTGTCTAGATGATGCATGAAATGCCTTCCTCTGGTATTGTCTGTTGTTGGGGTCGTGTGGCACAAAGGTAGAGAGTTCTACTCGGAACCAAGAGGTCCCGAGTTCGAATCCTGCACAACACCTTAAATCCTTGGAAAAGGCACTTTATACGAAATTCCTCACTTAACTCAAATACAAATTAGCATATGGCGAATAAGAATTAAGTTATTCTATAATTATAATAAAAATATATTATAATTAAACTTGAATGTGCCGTCACCATGTCATGTGGCAAATGTTGGAATAATAAAATATTGTCTGTTGCCTGCACAGTGTGATCGGCAGCTTGTCCAACAGTCGTGACTTTGCGGAGGTGTTCAGTTGCCCTCCAGGATCCCCCATGAACCCACGCCTGAAGTGTACTGTGTGGTGAAGCCGGCAGGTTTTTCTTCAACAAGTTTCATCCCCATGTTTTTCTAGTATGAGACTCCTGATGCATTCCAAAACGTGTGCCATTCCAACACATCAGTTGGAATAACATGGAATGCATAATTGTTTCCCAAAACTTGACCCATTCAGAAAATGACACGGATTGGCATTCAAAACCTGCACTTGTTCTGAAATAATAGTAATGCATGCTACTTAGCGATTGTAATGATTTTAACACTAGCTACTAACCGTTTGCTATGTTTCTACATTTTGTTACACGTTTGTTACTAAGTACTCTATCGGGCATGATGTTCGTTTTAAGCACATGAATGTACTTGCATTGCACCACAACATTTTTCAGATATTCTTACAGTGGATCACACACTAAAACAAAATAATCTAGTTTTTAAGTTAATAAACCATAAGATACACATGTAGCTGGCAATAAATGTATCATCGTGACACGGTATGCTATGGCAAAGTGATAAAATGAAAAACTAACGTGCATGTTGTTCGCTTTTAAAATTCTAGATGTTCTTGTATTGGTTATTGCGCCAGGCATTAGCAGATTCTATTTTTTTGGTGTGTGGTCCATTGTAAGCTTAAAAGCTTACAATGGACCACACACCAAAAAAATAGTTTAGTTTTTTTATAAACTATACAATACAAATGTAGCTGATGATAGAAGTATTATCGTAGCACGGTATCCGGCAAAGAAATAGAACGAAAACCTTACATGCAAATTAGTCACCTACAGTGACAAGATTACATTGACAGTTCGGTTGGCAGCCAAACGAAGAGTCCCCGGATGTCACCCACGGACTTATTAAGGGTAATGGATCATCTTAAGATCAGGTCATGACGAGACCAGGTCTCTGGGGATGGCAGAACCTCCAGGTCGTAACAACAGCCCTCCCGAGGGTACGTCCCTTATGTGGCATGATTGAGAGATCTGGAACTACGGACGGCTCTTCATCAACCTGCTTATTGCGATTCATTTGCGAGTCTGAACCCACGATCTGCAGGGAAGACTGGAAATGTCATGTTGGCAGCGTTCTTATGAAGCTTAGGCCATTTTATGGATGACATCCTCTGCAGACTCCAAATCTAATGAGACAGGGCGAAAAAACCAAGGCGGGCCAAAAAATAAGATTCCTTCATGTTTAAATTTTGACATCATAAACCTTGTTAAACAAGAATGATACCTATATTGAGCTAAGTATACTGCCAACTAAAAGGAATAAATAAATGAATAAACTATTACAACATCCATTTGACACTGAAAAATGTTTATATGCACAATATAAAAGGGACGAAATACATTACTGCATCGAAGTAAAAGGCAAAACAATATATCAGAGCCTTGTCTTTTCTCTTTATATTTATCTGCCATCCACGTTCCGGGATAGCAACAGACACATATCTTTGCCCATTTTCGGCATGTTAAGTAACCACTATCAAAGTGCAAGAAAATTTCTTTTTTCCCCCTCAAATCAGGCAAAAATTAATACTTGCGTAGATGTCACCCATAAAAATTACTTGCTGTGGCCTTATTACCTGTGTCAAAGGGGTTACGTTATCCCTGGTTGAGGTTGGTGGGTTTGGAAAACGGATAAATCGGGACGTTATGACAGGATTGCGGTGATTTGTGTGTGAGAGACTGGTTCTGGGCATGTAGAATCAGTGGTAATATTGTGGGATAGATCTAGTTTAGGGCTTATATACGTGGATTGTAGGGATTTTGTAAGCACTGTAAGGTAGGAAAACTCTTTCAGAACAATTCCAATGCAGGCTTTTATAGTAATGAAAACGGGAATCCGTGACAGGTATCATAAGAATGGGAAACTAGCATGGAACCCATTTGATTTTAGTAGCGGTGTATTGGTCTTTTCAGAATCTTTTTTTTTTACATAAGGTTGGAAGGTTTTTACATATGGTTGGAAAATCAATGATTAAACGGATTACTGATGAATTAAAAACTGCCGAAACAAGTAAAATCTGAGATTTTATACCTCCGGGCTTTTTATTGTATATTTTTATATGTTGTTTGTTATGTTAACAAAGAATTTATCAAGACCGGACACCCTTCTGTGTGAGGGGCCAGCTTCATGGACCAGACCGTAAATACCTAATACACGCCAAAGGTCAACGGTCGCGACCATTTTCACACTCAAAGGGGTGTTCTGGGGCCACCAAAAGGCACCATTTTCACGCCCGAAAACACATATACAATAAAAACAAAAGAACGTGCATCATCTACAACCCAATAGCAAAACATATACCGAGTCCCAAAAGAATCCGTCCACCCAAACGCGAGAAACAGCTGCGAACATGAAAATCTAAATCTATCACAAAACCCTTCCGCGGAAGGATGCCTCCCTCCCCGGAGGTAAAAATATAAAAATTGGTATAACAGGCCTCCCAGTAGTGTTTGTACCATAGGTCCAAACGGCGTTGCCAAAGTTTGGTCGCTCAATCCACCGCCAAGCCGTGTGTTGTGAATAGAAATGTAGGTTAAAAGCAGCTCTGTGGTATCTAGACGCCTACATCAAACATTCCAGTCATGACACGGTCACACGGGTCAGGTCGATAACAAAACTACACACTTTAGACTGCTTTACTTTGAGAGATTGGACCAGACAAGAAAATTGCTTTGACCCCCGCAGTCAGACCCTATATAGGGCACATATTCTTCATCTTTACTTCCCAATATCCCCGTGTATATGCCCATATTCTTCAAATTCTTCTCAATATCCACCGCGTCTACATCCACTTTTTTTATTCACAATTACTCCTTTTTATAGTTAAATTGACCTCCCCTTTTTGAGGACCTATCTGAAATTGAGTCAGAGTACTTGTGTGGGATTTTGGAAGAAGTGGATATCTATCAATGGCTTTTTATTAGCTCATTTTGTATAACGCAGACATAGATACCGATGCCGTTATGGCCTCTCATAACCTTTTTGGATCTTATATAGTTGCTGCAAGTGATTCCCTAACCTCTGGTTGTCGGTCATTTTTCATTTTTGTCTACATTAGTTTACGTGGGGCTTAGAAAGTGCCAGGAATTCTTTATCTTCGTCACGGGCTGCAGCCACATTTATATGCACCATCGATTTTTTCCTCCAAGTGTTGGATGTGTTCTCGTTTCAGATCTATCTTCCTGCCTCTTCAAAGAGATCCAAGAAAACTCACTTTCGGTTCTATGTGTGTTTTAAAGATATCGTAGCCGGGAGTCAATTTGGAAGACGCCAGCTTGTAGTGTTTTATTGCACCCATGTTATCAGGTAAAAATGAAATGCGTTTCTTCACTTGGGGTTTACTAATGAACAATGCTGCTTTCTTCTTTTCTGCCCTTCTTTTCTATTTACGTTTTTTTTAAATTTCTTGGATACGTTTACTTGTTTCACCATCATGGGAATAGCAGAAGACACTGAATTGCACACTTCAGGCATGCTACATGTAACAACACCTAACGCAAAGCAACACTACAATTACAAAAAAGTGATGGTGATAATATACTATACGATGGAAACAATGTGCAATGGTGTATTCACAAGGAAAAAAGTGTCTTTTCGCACATGGAATAAATGGAAACAAAAAATCTTGTCGAAAGCTGAATTAAGAAAAATGTACAGAAAGTTAATACTTGGAAGAAAGAATGCAGACGTTTTCACCATACATAGACTGCATTTGCAAAATAGTACCCGCAAGCAACTAAATCAATTGCAAGATAACACTGAGTATGTTAAGAATAGGTCTAGGCTATAGATCTATCCGATGTTTAACATCAAATTTATCTACAGACTAGCTTGTTTTCACCCTTTACTTAGTATATTTTCATAGTACCTTGCGATTAGCCTTAGGGCATAGGTTTGCACAAAAATAAATAGATACGATTAGTTCTTTAGTTTAAAAGTTTAGACGTTACGGGAAATACATAATACATGGTCCAATGATTAATTTGATTGCAACGCTTCGCTGGTCTGTTTGTTTTCTAATTATCTTGCAAATTCTTACTTTATGATTTCAATACAAACAGACTGGAATTTTATTGCAATTAGCTCATTAAAAATGCTTGTGTAGACATAAAATCGCTGTGTCAAGATCAGTAATAATAACTAATGATTAAAAGATAAGCAATGATAAATCCTTAGTAATCTTTGATAGTAGTAACATTTACATGTAATCCTAATAATCTATTAGAATCACAATATGAACTATATATGACTTTCTCATAGAGATACACTCTGTCTCAAGATTATAAATAATGATAAATAAAAAATGAATGATAATCCTTTTGTAATCTTTGATGATAATATTTATACAATACAATCCTTAAAATCTATCAACATCACAGTAAGAGCTTTATGATTTTTTTTACAGAGAGGTAAACTTTCAGTGACCCCTCTGAGTCGACTAGTCCAACAGCAACATCGCATGGAGTATATAGTGGCTCTCAGAAAGTAATGGGTTTTGAAATGTCGGCGCAGTTTGCACATACTTATCTCCACAGCAAAGCCATATTTAACATCGCCTCCGCGTGGTGTGAATAGAAAGACGCCTTCAGTGTTACTTTTGATGAAATGCATTTTTGGCCGGGCTGGATCTTATTTACTTTCTAAGCAGGAATTCATTTTTTTATTACTTTTCTGTATGTATAACATTACATGCATGCACCATGCCATAGAATACAAAATTATTTAATCTTAAGTGCATGTATTTTGAATCACATCACATCATTAGCTTATTGTTTATTGTCTTGTTTATTAATTGGAAGGGGCGTTTTCATTAGAAAATTTCAATATCATTTACTGTAATTGTCACCGGTAGCATTAACGTTGGGAAGGATAAATGGCAGTCTCAGTCTAAAAGCTAATTGTTTATCGTCATGAGTCGTTAGCTACACAACAAATTACGTATTACGTGCTTTGCAGTTCTATATGATACATAATTTTCGATGTAAATAGAGTCTATGTAATTTTGCAATTATCAATTTTTTTGTAAAATTTTCGTTCCCCCCCCCTTTTTTTTACAAATTTAACTCTCTAACAAAAATTTTTTAACCATATTTTTAAGCAAAACCTAGATCCTAGAATGGACGAGCCCTAAATACTGGCCACCATGGTACTCACTCTTCAACACTATACGTCTTTTGCAATATTTTTCTTTTTAAATTTTGTTACCCCCCTTTTTTTTTACAAAATTTTAACCCCTTGCACCCTTTTTTACCATATTTTTTAAAAAGAACACCTAGATTGTAGAATGGACCAGCCCTTAATACCGGCCATTGTGGTACCTACTCTTTAATACTTACGAGAGTCATTTGCATGACACTTTCCTCACACATTTTTTTTACCATATTTAGGCAACAACCGGATCGTAAAATGCACCAGCCCTAAATACTGGCCACTGTGGCACCTACTCTTCAACACATACATGTATGAGAGTCATTTTCATGACATGTACACTCTTCGCTTAAACAAATTTCTTTTTTAATTTTATAAAAATAACACCCGGGTCCTAGAATGGACCTACTCTTCAACACTATGTGTATGGCTTCTTTTGCAATCGTTCTTTAAAATTTTCCTTACCCCTTTTTATTATAAATTAACCCCCCCCCTCTTACACAATTTTTTTACATTTTTTTATAAAAAAAAAACAAATTTAAACAACAAGCAGATCGTAGAATGGACCAGCCCTAAATACCGTGGTACCTACTCTTTAACACTTACGAGATTCATTTGCATGAAACCCAGAACACGTCTGCGCACGTCCTGGGAGAGATAACGTCAAAACGCACTTATGCCGCGCTGATGCCGACAATATTCCTCTGCCGCACTGAGCGCTCTTGGGGAGCAGATAAGTCATGACAGAAACAGTTGGAATGACGCTGAAGACCTGAGAAGACCCGATTCCCT